TGTCAAAAGATTTTAAACCGGTTTGAAATGAAAATAAAATCTCATGAAAATATTTGTGCTTCCGAATACTGGGGCTACGGGCCAAAAATCCAAGTGTATCATGGTCGGGCTCCTTAATTACTACGGTTGTCAGAAAATTTAGCAAGGTCACGAATGTGCCAATGTTGTTTGCTCGCTTAGAAAAGGACCATTTTCTAGACAAAAACCTCTAGGATAGCGACTTTTGCTTCAGGGATGCAGGAATGGCTGCTCCGTGAGGTTTATCAGAAGTCAGGAAGGAGTGAGTTTTCCAGTAACAAAGAATGGAAGCACTTTTGGTGTTATCACTTATATGCACCAATTTTCATTTGTTTGTCCACCAGTCTCAAGTAGAACCAGCAAACAAGCGATTGTCATGTACTCTTAGATTTTGTACAAAAATGTGCTGTGAGGTAACTGTGAACAAAAGATCGATAGAACTAGTTGAGAGATAGGCGAAACGAAAGACCGGCATGGTGTGGTGGTGAACGCGTTAATCCCCGGAAGGGACAATAGCGCGTTGGTTCTCCACCGCAGACACCTGCGGTCCGGAGTTTTGCCAATATTTCAGCTTTATTGAAGTTATATTTCACAATATACCCTGCCATTAAAAAAAGAGTAAGCAGTAAATAAAACGATTAAGACTGCGAACAAAGTTTTTTCACACAACTCATTAACCTAAACTCTAAGAGTGCCATATTATGAAATCTACTTGGATTACTGTATTCTCTTCGCAGAGGATGTTCATTGTTACACCACAAACACTAAGGATTTCTGCAATTACATGCGTGAAAGAATACGGAAACCTTCCACATTTCATTTTATACACTTTTTTCTGATTGAATTTTCATCTGTTCGTTCAGGCCTTTTTTCCTCCTTATTTTGTCGCTGCAATGCTCTTCTCATTTTCGATTTACCACTCATCTTTGTTTTCTTCTCGTTTTCCTTCAACTGGTGGTTATCCTTCCAATGTCACAATCATTTGTGCTGTATTCTCTTTACTCTCATTCTTTCAATTTCTACCCTTCATTTTCTTGACTTTCTATCTCGTTTCCATCTTCTCCTCGTATTTTCTTTCTACTTATTTCCCGCTTTATCCCTAATAGTTCTCTCTTCGCGTATATATATCAACTCGCAATTGGCAATGATTATTTGGACTGTTATAGTTGTAAATAAGAGGGAACGATACAAAAGAAGGAACAAAATCTTTTCAAAGTTATCGAGAACCGATTACTCAAACGACCTAGTTTGATGTATGGGCGGTGTCTAGGGTGGACGGAACGTTTCAATGAATTAAAATTGCTGCATTCGAGACCGTCATTCGAACAACATCGTTTCGAATGTTTTCTTTTCAGTAGTGGGTCCTGTTTTTTATTTGCATCTAGTCGACATTATTTTAACAATGTGAATTCAAAAGAAAATTCCTTCAATACTCTTTCATAGGTTCGCATGGAAGCCAGTGGTTAGAGATACTCAGCAACACATGTGGTCGTTCCTGGATCCGGTGCCTAGGGGTAACCAAGCCCTTCATCTTTGTGCTCGAGAAATTGTTTCTAGACTTGTCTAGGAGGACAAAAAACACCAACTTGAACATTGAAAGTTGTTCTATAGGCTAAATATGGATTAAATCACCGTTACTATGTTGTGAATGGAGGCGAATGCATGGCACATCTTAATGCGACAGATAAAAGCCGAATGTTTTGTCCAGTACCCTCCTTCAATGTTGCTGAAATCCATAAAAGGACACCAAAATGGCCTATAAGTGTAAACTTTCTCATATAAGATAACAAACATTTGTAGTATGCCAGCCGTCCATCGTTACCTTACCGTAGTATGAAAAGTAATCAGCAATCCACAGAAGTCCATCGGTATCCATTAAGTACAGAGGTATTCTTAAAGTGGCTTACCTAACTGCCGCTATGTATGTGACAAAACAAAATGTTGCTCTTCGGTACATTCCCTTATCGTAAACATTTTGTACGCACCAGAAATATAGCTGTGTTGAGCGGAAACATTGTCACTGACTTCGTCATTGGTGGAGTCGCACTAGTTGAGCACTATGCATTTAGGTACTATTTCCCATTTTTCCCCTTCTGTTGGTCTTCGTGGTAAAATGAAAATCTTCGATGCAAATGCATTTTTTAGTTCCATCAACTTCTTTTAACAATGTTACAAAGGATGTCTTCACATTCAATCTCGTCTTAAAACGTTCAGCTTCGGCTTCGCTAGAGTAAGCCTGCATTATTTGATTCGTTTAGCATTAGAAGTTTTCGCTTGATGAGGTGAAAATCAAGCACGATATCAGCTGGTTCCTGTATAGATGTCAGATATTCTTAGGCGTGCAACTAGTACCGCATCTATCTTCTATTAGCCTTCCCTGCATTGCTGGAAAGTAAAATGGTTCGGTGACAACCCTCGTTGTATGGTTGGTCTCTCTTATTCTATAACGATGCGCTCTACATGCTACCATAGTCCGTAGTTAAGTGTCCACTGTCGGGCTATTGCTATAAAGTTGAGCGCAACCCTTTTCACGGCTCCACCTGAATATTCCTCAGTTGCTATAGAGACGTGATTGTCTGTAAGCATTATAAAGACGCAATATTCCCGTAGTTCACATGTCTAAGAACTATGCGGTACTAGCATCTACATGATAAATTTCTTCGGTAGAACTTTAATTTTTTAATTTATGGGATTATGTTGAGCTACGATAACCGATTGGCATTCGCTGAGCGGCACCATTGACGTATTTGTGGCGATTAATAACTTTAGAAGAGTGCAGTTGTCCTTGTGTTTGAAGCAAATTCGACGAAATCTTATTCCACCAAAAACACTTTGTGTCGGTCCTATGTTCTATACGTGTGTTTTGCTGTAGTGCTGTGGTAGGAAGTGCTTCGCCATACAGGCAGGCATCATCTTTGACTCAATCTGCCTCCCAGTGGCTTCCAGTGCTAACCAATCCTCTCATCCATCCGGGATTGGCAAATTGCTACCATGCCTGTCTGGAACCATAAAAGGCACTGAATTGACACATCGATAAGCCGCACCAAGTTATTATACAGGATAAATATATCACCTTAAAGACGCTACGAATGGAGTCGAATGCATTGACTTCCTTGGGGGACTAAAGAACCCCGAACACCTTATTAGGTTTGCATCATGTAGGAATTCATTCCGCAGAAAGTCCTAGCCCCGAACTTTCAAATTTATTTACCAATACTTGTTCCTTCATTTCTGAACTAAAATAAAATTGAGGTTTTTCTCTCTTTTGTTAAATTGAGAGCATTTCAGTGGTGATAAAATTGATCAACATTGTGAAGTATCAACATGTCTTATTATTGTATAATCTCGCGGCGTTGTAATATTACTGCTGTGAACTGGAGTATATCGTATCCCGTTTTAGAATAGATTGTGTCCTTGACCTTGTTCGGATTTGTTTGATTCATTTAGATAGGAAATCAACTGCGCGAGGAATGTCGGGGCAACAAACAGAGGAGTTGCTGGAGTTCGAAACAGTCAGTGCTTTCGGTGTTTTAATCTTTTTTTCTAATGAAATACACTGGTGAAATTGCTTATGTTAAGTTGCCAGTATCGGTTCCGCTACATTGTTATAGTGAAATTGAGTAAGACTTTTGTTGAAATGTGCGTAAGCTATGAAGCGGAAGTTTATGTACTGTAATAGTTTAGAACAAATGTCCGAAGAAATTTACACAGACGATCTCGAATCATGCAAAGGGCTAGGAAAAAGCGATTCGCATCCATTTTCTCAAGGCTCCGTTCCTATTACACGTATACACCAATGACCTTAGAACTTGTGTCGTGCACGATTGTATTCTACAGATAGCATTATGTTAAAATTCAAAATTGCTGCTGTGTTACTCACCTATTTAGGCATCATGTTTTGACAAACATCATGCGCATAAGAACGGTTTCCACGCAGCTGGTATGGTTCTGGTTGAGTTTGCTTTCCCAGAAATATCGGGATAAAGAGATCGTTTGGGCGCCTGCGGTCCATTAATACAAGTTGTTCTCGAGTAAGTCAGACGGATGTTCGCCGCGATGCCACTAGGTTTCATCCAGAGCAGCAACGATTTCTAGCATGCATTTTCTCTTATCTGTATTTCCGAATGGCAACGTCAGTCCTCATATTCAATACGTCTTGGTATTGAATGGATCTCTTGCTCTACGTGGTACTTAATAGCTCAAGGAAGTTTTACAATTCTAGAAATTGTAGGCTTAGAGGATAACGTCATAGTGTCTTGTTTCCTTCAGGTAATGCTTATAAACATTTGGTAAGACTTTTTGTAAAGTGCGGACAGTACCAATAACATATTTGTATCATTTTTGGTCCAGTCGACTTTTTGCAGGCGATGAAAGACTTCTCGATGATGTTTCCAGCAATTTCGAGGAGTGAGATCGAACAAATGCTCAGAAAGAACGACGGCGATGTTGCCAGCACTATCGACGATCTTCTGCTTCTATCACTAGAGGCATTTTGTTTATAATAATCGATGCAACACAAGTTTCCACTCATTAAAATGGTGTTCTGATGGTCTACGCACACGTTTTTCTAGGAAAAATTGAATGATGGGCGCTACATAGTTAACTACAGTATTTCTGAGACCTGCTTTCTACAGAGCACATTTGCAAAGTATTGCAGGCAACCCAACTCTCCGCAATACCGACAAGCACTTCTCGCAGCCAAAGTGCACCGTCTGCGGAAAAGGTTTACGAATTTAGTTATTGAAGAAAAGCATCAGAAATGGCAGTAACTGCAGCAACGAATAATTGTAAAACTTTCCTGTTATCTGTATGTCTTGTAGTTTTTAACTACATGTGTAGGTAACTTTCCGTCGTTTTCATATCACAACATCAGGTGTGACTGATGGGTCACCTGACTTACTAGTGATGCTTAGTGGATTATTTAAGAAATTGCTCCACCTGGTGGTGTGTCGAAAGAAAAGTATAAGATTACTGACAACGATATGAAGCCTTTCCGAAGAAATCATTTTCAGTCGGTTAAGTTTTCATCGACGACAAGACGATCGGTTGACGACGCGACGCCATCAACAACGAACACGAAGATCCTCAGGTGCTTACGTCAATGTGGATCTCAACACCTTGATTAAGAAGAAGAAAAGCGTGTAGTTAGCGTAGTTAGCTTAATACATAAACATTTGGCTGCTTAAATGAATGATGAGAGGTTCAGTCCTAAGAAAGGACTCTTGCGAAGCAGATAGGCTTTTGGTTGGCCTTGCTGTACTACCTCATACTGCTGTTTTCATAGCTCCCTCAAAGCCTTTTTTTTAGGAAAAAATTTCGTGGTTGCTAACCTTTTCCTTAAATTTCCCTTTTCCCAATTTTATATACTCCGTATTCCAAAGGACCGGCACATTACGCTGAAGAGTAACAGCTGGTGCTATTGATTGTTTTCTATAAGGGCTGCATGCAAAAAATAAACCAGAAGGGATGAATCTGTTCAGGGTCTCTCGATTCACTGCTGACCAAGTAAGCCGAGAGCAGGCACGTCTGGAGATGTTGAAGAAAGAAAACGAACGTCGGCTTGACACTGTCTGTGATGAAAAAGAAGCCAGGTATCTAGTTTTCATCCTACAAAACCTAACTAACAACTGAAATGGCCTCAAGTGAAAGTTTCCACTGAGCATTCTAGAAATGATTTGGCCTGCACAGCGTTCTACCGATTTATGAAATCAGCGTTTTGCCTTGGAGAATAATTTTGACTTCAATTGTTCCCATATATATATATTTGTATATATATATAATATATTTGTATATATATAAATATATATATACATACATATATATATACACATATATACACATATATATATACATGTATATGAATGTGTATATACATATTTATGCATATTTATATATATAAAATAGATAGATAAATAGATAGATAGAAGGATAAAGCTCTCGGCGTTGATCAATCCCCTAGGAAAGCGTCATGCATTCCACTTCATTAAGCATCGTTTGTATGTGACTGAACGCATATCTGGGTTTTGCAATGACTCGTGGTGACCTACCAATGTATCGAGCCAGTGCTACTATCCTCCCAGAAGTCTAATCCCAATTTGCCGACCCCAGAAGGATGGAAGGCTTGGTAGGCCATGGAAGCGAGGATCGATTCCACCTTTGTGTTGCAGAGCGCCGCCGACCACTGCGGTGCACGCACCTTGATATATATGTATACATACCATATAAAGTGCTCAGATGTTCAGATGTCTGTATATGAGAAGTTTTGCATACGAAATTTATATGTCCTAGGGAAAAATGTATGAATTGCGATTTAAACTTGAGAAGAAGGGTACAAAGTCATTGCAAATCCATTGTAAAATTCCACTTCAACGACGTCTTTTCTCGCAATGTCAGAGTCAATGCAACGCTGCTGAGTATCAGGGAAGACAAGCGCAATTGGTACTTTTTTACACGACCTGGCAACACACGTTGTGCGGATCCCAGTATTTCTTTTAGCCGAGCCGTTTCCTTTCATGCTTCATCTACGAAAGTCTTCGCACTTACGTCTGGGTTGTGCTGTTGCTTGGGGATTTTGATCTCTTTTGAGTATGTCAGTGAATGATGGGAGATTCCTCTCAGATACCTTGGTTAACCGTACGATGACGTTCTCAGATCTTTACTACAGACATTCATCAGCCTTTATGAATGGAATGCAACTCCCAGACGAGGCTGGTACCAATTCCACCAATCGGAGCGGTGGTAGAATTCTTTGGACTGTTGCGATGTTGAACCAGCTCTCGCGCGTATTATTGAGCGGTATCTCTACCACATGTGGGGATCGACCCCATGTATGCATTCCAAGGCGCCTCCGACCACTGCGCCACACGAACCATCGAAGACGCTCTGCAATGCGCACATAATATCGATCCCGGCGCCTTTAGTTCGACAAGCCTTCCATCCCTCCGGGGTCGGCAAATTGGTGCCAGACTTATCTGGGAGGATAGCAGCACTAGCTCGATACATCGGTAAGGCAATAAGAGTCATTGCCATTCATTGTTATTCTAAAGGCCAGATATGCATTGAATCACCTCCAAACTATGCTTTATGAAGTCGAATGCATGACCCATCCATCAGGAGTTGATCAACGCCGAGGCTTCTTCCTTTTATTTATTTATTTCTACCACTGTATTAGCTGGACCAAATTTTCGTATTTTAACGTTTTTTAAACAGGAAAAGAATCTGATTGATTGCAATGTTGAATGTTTGATGGTTTTTAATCGTATTAATATGAATGCAGAACTCATGAGAATACGAAAGTTAGCAAAATTTGATGAAACATTTTCAATTTGTTTCGGAAATTCCGAATTGTGGAATTCTCAGAATGCTTGAAGACGAGCAGCTGGCGTTACTGATGCAGAACAAGGAGTTCATCCGCTGGCTACGGAAAGAGCAACTTCGTAATCCATGTGATTTTACTGTTTTCGTTTAAAACACTTATTCCACATATTTATTCACTGATACTCAAGCAAAAATGAATAAGTGCAATCGATAGTCTGTCTGAAAAAGATTTCGAGCAATAGAAACAGGAACGAGTATGTCCGTCCCAACAGCAAATTCTGTGCCGATTACGCCATCGGTCAATGGAGAAATTTTCTTTGCATTTTTACAACAACTACGTGCAACCAAAAATTCGAGTGCATGTAGTACAGAAGGCACTATAGCTTCATTCCTAACATTTACGACCCGACATGAATTGATTATCACTCATATGATGCCGAAATACTGTCATTTTCAAATTTAAAGCAACATATCTCAGTATGAATCAAAGTGCACTTTTCCTACTTTTTGTTTTCTTTGAGCCGTGTTCACTTCTACTGTGCGGATCCCAGCACTTCTCACATTCAGTTCATTGCCTCACATCCATCACCCGCGAAGATCTTCTAACTTTACGTGTGGTTCGGTTGCTGCTTGACGATTTTCATTTCATCTTGAATGTCATAGAATGCTGGTCGAGCAATTCTTCCTGGAGTCCTGAGTGAGCCGTGCTGGAGCGTTCCCAAATGGATTGCAGAGAGTGATTTTTCCCAGAAAAGTCCGGTACCAATTTCCCCGTCCCTGGAGGGATGAAAGGCTTGGTTGGTCCGGAACGGAATCAAACTAGCACCATACTCGTGATGACGAGCAACACTACCGCTGTTCTATCCACCCTCTAAAGTGCGCTTTATCAGTTGCAATATAAAGTATCGGAATCCACAAACCTTGCCTACAAGATTAAAGTTTATCTGTTTTACTATGATGAACGTCTGATTTTCTGGAGCTCACCAGAAGTATTTTGTGGACTTTTCTTTCAAGGCTGTTGTTTCGAAAATGAACGCAATTGAACGAGCTGCGTTTCGCCAATTAGAACTCGACGATGTCTCGAAATGCCTTGTTGATGTTCATGGCAGCCGAAATATTGTTTGAAACAGTAGGAATTTAAGATTCGTATTTAATTCATCTAGAAGTTTTAAGTCTAAACAGCTTAGAAAACCAAGCAAAGCTAAGGGTACTTTAGTATCATTATCATTTGACGGCTAGTCAAAAACGTCCTTGTCAAATGAGTATCAAAGAGCCATATTTGGGGTTAGATAAATAAAGGAAAACCTTTTCTGCGAGTCAACATAGTTTTGTCCGCAGTTGGCAAAAAACCAGCTTCGGTCCCTAAATGTTAACAAATAGATCTAGCAAATAAAATAACTGATAGGAAACTTGAAACCAAGAAGTGCCTCCTCTCGTAAACGTTCAACTTTCAGCGTACATTTCACCGTCTTCGCATTTTGAAAAAGCATACAGGAAGCGATATTCGTCCGGTAAAGAGCACGGTAAGATCTTTTTTTTGTTATAAAGGATTTCTAGCAGTGTCGATTCAAATTCTTCTGTTCAAATAGAAATCAAGATGTTTATTACGAATTCCTCAGTCTTAATGAAGTAAACAGTGGCCATTGGCCAGTGCGCAAGGCTACCGGAGAGAACTTTCTTGCGAACATATCGTCTGAAAACAATAATGGTTTGTCAAACAACTTTCACTTTTGATATTATGCAGGTTTAGCGGAAAGATCACGTTCGTGCTACTGTAGTGAAGTCTAGTGATAGTATCAACTCCAAAGACAGAATTGTGCTGGAGATAGGAGTTTGTACGAGATTCTTTAAAAGTAGTAAAGTATGAGTTCACGGTGAGCATGACCTTCTTTGGTGCGACGTGGCTTCGCTGGTCACTGCAAAGCTTTCCATGAACCAAAAGATCGCTCAGTAGCTATTCTCCATCTACTCCGTATTTCTTGCTAGGCTGTCGTGCTAACAAAGATTTTCCGGAAGTGCCAGTGTGTTGTCGGCTAAAATCCGCATTTTCACCATACATAGAGATGCTTCGAAGTCCTTTATAAAATTTTAAGACTCCAGGGAATTCAAGAGAAGAGGCTGTGGAATCCGTTGCAACGTTTACTTCTGTAACATTATTACGTGGAGAAAACACCGTTGATTTTCATTTTTGTGAATTTCGTTGTCGGTGTCCGTATCGTCACTTTAGTGTTGTAACTTTGACTGAACTGAAGATTCACAGGATGTGAGAATGCCCAAACTAGCCCACCGTAATATCAGTTGCCAAAGGATCATGTTAGTATCTCCTTGGATTATTAAGCTAACACAAGGTTGGTAAGAAGTTTTATTTGGCTAACGCTTCGGCGCAGTCGCCCTCTTCAGACTCGGGTTGATTGGAGTCGACCGTCAATAGTCTTTTGTCCTCTCGATGTAGTATTTTCACTGTCTCACCGAGTCGAACCCGATGGAGCGGCGCACCGCTCAAATGAAGGTGTCCTCACTCGGCAGTGCCTTTGTTTACAGGACTGTTGTTGATCTATTACCATCCAGTACGATCCCTTGACTGGGCGCGTGTGCTGCAGGGGTTGGAGGCGCTGCTACGACACACGTGAAATCAATCCACGCTCCCATGGTCCCACCAAACCTTCTATCCCCCCGTGGTCGGCAAATTGGTACCAGACTTGTCTGGGAGGATAGCAGCACTGGCTCGATACTACATCGGTGGGCCACCGCGAGTCATTGTAAAGGCCAGATATGCATCCGATCACTTCTAGTGATTGATGCTTAATGAATCTGAATGCTTGGCGCATCGCTCAGGGATTGATCAACGCCAAGAGCTTTGCCCATTATCTTTTTATGATCTCTTGATGGGGCGCGTGCAGCGCAGTGGTTACAGACGCTTTGCAATACTCATGAGATCGATCCCACTCCCTGGATTCACCAAGCTTTCCATCTTTCCGAGATCGGCAAATAAACACCAGACTTGTCTGGGAGGGGAAGCTTGCAGCACTCACTCGATACGTCGGTAGGCCATTGCGAGTCATTGTATGGGCCAGATATGAGTTCAATCACTTCTAGCGATTGATGCTTAATGAATCCGAATGCATGGCGCACCCCGTAGGGATTGATTAACGCTGAGAGCTTTATCCTTTATTTATGATCTCTCGATTTGCTTTCAGGGTGGCAATGGATCCTGCTGAAGTCGGTGTTATATTAGCTGGCACATAGCATTGCAGTATTTCTAAAAACCGAACATCATTTAACATCGCCGTAAACGATCAGTATCTTCTTGGATGTGGATAGCATCGGATCACCATTCTTTTTGTTTAGCAACTAAATCACATCGTATAGGTCAATGGGACAAACTGATCATTGCGTTTTTTTCTAGAAGAAGGCACACATTTCGACCAGTTGAAATCCGAAAATGAGGTCGATAAATTTGTTAGCCGTTAATCTTCGGCAGCATCTGATGCACAATGCTGCTCGGTAGACGAACAAATAGTTAAAAATGGAGGAAACGAATCAAATCCGGCGGATGCTTCTATTTGAATTGCTTGAGTGGATGATTCACTTCAGCCCTCCAACTTTTCAGTTTGACGATGGTGACTATGATGAATGTTTTATGCTTTAAATACGCTCTCCAAAACTTGATTTCTATCCTGAACACGAGAACTTAAGCCTGAATCTTTTCTGCAGAGAACAAGCTTAAATCTCGGACATTAAACACTTCCTAACAACATTTCTAGTCAAATTTCGTCGAAATGTTCGGTGTTTATTTGCATAGGTACAGGTCCGCGTGTTCCGGAAGGACCGATCGTTGATGAGCTGATCATAAATGCCGAACCTGATCTGAAGGATCGACTGAAGAATATGAGTAGAAGTGAGTGAAGGTCTTCAATTTTAATAGGGTTGTCCAGTTAAGATAATTCTGTGAATCTATGTGGGAGTGTTAATACGAGATTGAAGATTATTTTTTCGAGCTGGGAAACATAAGGCCGAACCTGGATACAGATGTGGTGATGGGCCAACAGGGTTCTCACCATGGCTTCAACTCGTTTTCATGAATATGGGCTCTAGTTAGTCCAGTTTATCTGACCAGTAGTTGATTTCAGTATCCAAAGAGCGCCTTCAACAACTCGCAGCCCGCTTCAGACGAAACGGTGACGCTCATTTGAACGCCTTCTAGTTAATTCATATTTGTGATGATTAATTGTTTCCTACACCAGTAGACTTTCTTAGTGGCGAATCTTTTTTGTGAAATAGATTTCTAATGATTTGTTTTTACAAGATTAACGATTTATTCGTTGACATTATTTTCTTCCTATGCTGCTCGATCACCTTAACCGCTTAGTGTCCTTCGTTCACGTCAATCTTTGTCGTTCTTCTCTCCCTAGCTGAACTTCCTTCAAATCTCACTCGCTCTTTCTCTACTTATACCATCCCTTTCATCTTTGATTTCGCGTCTTCTGTTCTTCATCTTGTCGTTTTGTGGGTTATATGTTCATCCAGCCTAATATCCTAAATCCTCTCGGTTTTCCCCAGTTCCCTCATTTTTTATCAACGATCGCTTTGCTTGTCGTAATTAACATTCTGCTGTGAAGCTGGTAGGATTTCTTGACTACAAATTTTATTGATTGTACTAAAAAGGCATTATTAGGAATGGGTTTTTAATATGTGTTCACCGTTTCTATCATGTAATTATTTCTTTCCTCCCACGCAGACGTAGTGATCGGAGTCATGTTTTTATTGGTATTCTTGACGCTTCACGATATTTTGTGCTATGGTTCTTCAAACAGTAAACACATTTTAGAACTGGAAATCATGAGTGTTGTGGAAAGAATACGGGATAATTGTGCATTTAGATTTCTACTAGAGGATTGGTTAGTGACTGAATACGAAGCTATCGAGCTGCTCAGATAAAAAAATAGTTGATGCGAGAAAACGGGTTGAAAAAAAAGTGGATACAAATGATGTCTTCGCTATCTTCCTTGCACAAGAACATGTGAATCAATCTTCGCGTCTTTCGACGTTGTGCTGTCTCGAAGACGCATGGCACAGCTTCTTTCCTATGGCTTTGCACTACAAAAGGAATGCAGTCATGAGGTTCGTGCTAAGACGATGTAATGTTGGACGCAACATGAACAACTGATGAGATAGCACGATAGTGCAAGAATTTCCGGCTAATAGTGGTTGATACTGGTAATCCAAGGAGTATCAGTTGGCAAAGCAATGTACAAATTTTACACGACTCGTCTTTCACATCTACTATGCGGATCCCAGCATATCCTGTATTCGTTTGGTTTCCCTTCCATCCACTATCCACGAAGGTCCACAAACTTTTTGCATGTAAATTCTGCTGCTGCTTGAAGATTTTCCTTTCTTCATGAATGTCGTTCGGTGCTGGTCTAGGCGATTTTCTCAATAGTCCTGAGACAGCCGGGCTATTCCATTTGGATTAAAGAGAATGAACCCTCCCCAGGCAAGTCTGGTATCAATTTTCCGACCTCGGAGGGTTGATAAACCTCGCGAGCCCGATGCGGGATTTAACCAGCACGTTCTCGTGGTGATCAGCATCACTGCCACTGCGCGATGCGCGACTCGCCCCAATTCGTTGTTGTGAATCGCTTTTTCATAATTAACAATAGTTAGGGTAAGCAGCAGATGTTATTCCTGATAGGATTCATGAATCTACGTGCCGTTTAGATTTGGTTCATGCAGCAGAATGCTAGTCAGGACCGTGCTTACTCAAGTGGCTGTGTCTCATTCAATATTAATACGAGCGATCGTGAAGAGCTTGTAGAGTTCACTTCACAAGCATATCAGGCGATAGCACCGAGGTTCCCTTGAGTCATCGTTTCGGGAAGGGTGACCGTATGCGATGTCCTCCATTGTTTGGGATTTCCCTTTTCTGAAGGTAAGATGTCATGTGGGTTGTGAGAAATAATTGTAATCTGCGGTCTATAGCTTGACGGAAGTCTGCAGTGATATTATAGCATACTGGAACTGTGCCTGTCTTCATGCTTTCTATCACAACTCGAACTTTAGAAGGAAAAATCCTGAGAATTGTTTTCTTAACAGAAATTTTGGGGTCCTAGACGGAGACTGGAGGACAGGAAAGATTGGTATGGGGCTTTCCCTTTACCAATCCCTTATCATTGCGGAATGCTGTGGTAACCCCATTGTGGCTCATCATTGATGACAGTAGTGGCATAGTAGTAGAGTGGCATAATTTCTGATGACTCTTCTTTAGGCTAGTCTGCTTTTCAGCTTCCTCCACAGTCTTTTTTTTTGTGGTCCAAGTTAAATCCTTCTACAGAGATCTTCTATAGTCGGAATTTATTATATGCCATTTTAGGTGCGTCTATGTAAGGTCAAGTTCCGTATTTTTTTCAAGCGACTGCTTAATGTTAATAAAGGGATTCATTTCCAGTGTATGGCGGTGTCAAATCTTCGTATGGATAAGGCGGTGATAGAATCCAGTACAGATCAATGGCATAACAAATATGTCAAAGAAAATCTGTCTTTTGTATGTGGGAACGTGATCGCATAAACACTCTATTGCTAGATTCACAAGTTCATCGGCGATTTTCTCACTTATCCAAAAATGAATCTCCACGGGAGAGACATGCTGTGGGCTTAACAAGACGATTTCCACTCTCATTTCATTCTCCGCTTTCAAACTTTCCGATTATGTAATCACTTTTGTTGGCTTTCCCTAATCTGGCGATGAAGTCTCCGACAACAAAATTATGTAAAATCTTCTCATTGTGATGCACTCATTCCATCTATAGAGGGCATCTATTCCGTTGGTGTAAAGGGAAATGCATTTTTGTACAGTGAATCTTAAGTCGTTGCTGCTTACTTCATTGATAGGTTAACACGAGGTTGCTGCCAAATATTTATTCGGCTAACAATTCCAAGTCCTCATCTTCCTCAGAGCCGATGATCTGGTCGATGGTTCGCATTCGTTCATCATTCCAGTAAGGTGTCTTTGTAGGCGTATCGAGTCGAAGAGAAAGAGCTCTATAAAAGAGCATCGCCAGGTGAGGTTGCCTCATTCGAGCGGTGCTCCACTGAAGAAGATTCGACCCAATACGAAAGTGAAGATATCACATCGGGTGTACGATGAACCACCAACTCCGATTGTCGACTCTCAGGAGGATGAATACGTCAAAACGATAGTCGAATAAATATTTGGTAACAACCTCGTATTATCTTATCAGGGAAATAAAGTATATCGATGATTCATAGCGATGTTAAATGACGGCCTATTTGCAATAATATTACATCATTATAATCAAGTTCAAGTGAAATTTTACTCCCAAGATAGCAACAGTTTGAATCTACACATTTTTGGGCACAAAATGTTCGTTTATTTCACGTCTTCGCGGCAGTTCGGTTTTTAAAGCTTTTCTCAGCTATTACTTGTCGAGCTGGTAAAGGTGGTGATTGGTTAGGGAGAGGTCTGAGTGGTGGATGGCGTTTCGGTCCTAGGCCAACTCATTCAACTGTTGTAGCATTAGTTATGGAACGTGAGGTCGTACGTAGTCGTGCAAGAAAATTGGACCATGTTTCCCAGCTGTCCCACAGAGCTTTATCGTTTTCATGACATTACTTTCTTGTGATTGTTACGTCGTGATTGAAGAGCACTGTATTACAAGATTCGCTCTAACAAAAACGAAGAAGTCATCGTAACCTTCTTTTGATATAAATTAGGGTTTGGAAAATGCTTAAGATCTTCAGCTCAGTAGAATCACTGTCGTATATCGCCGTATATGATCGGTTTTTCATCTCATTTCATACTACCTCAAAAAGGTGGAACGTATGTTCTGTAAAAGGACGGAACAAACTGCATGCCGACGACCATGCCACGCCAGCCATCTAGGAGCTCTTTCAGCATTCCAAAGTTTTCGAAATGAATAACGATTGTTGGAACACGAGTTTTGAGTTTTCCTACAAATCTTCAAGTGGCTATTATATTTGCAGCTTCGACTGTCGGCTCCGAATGGTCGCCGTAAACTGCTAATAGGTGTCCTCGACCTTCCCCTCCATGAAGATGTGTTACTCTATATGAAATCTTACGAATGCTTTGTTCATTAGAGAGGAAGCCCTTTGTCGGCCCATTTCTTGATGACATTTCGACCTGGTACTACTTCTCTTGATTAGGGTGCGTGTGGCGCAGTGGTTGGAGGCGCCACTGCGAACACATGGAATCGATACCACGCCTATAGCCCACCAAGCCTTCCATCTCTCCGGGTCGGCAAATTGGTACTAGACTTGTGTAGACGGATAGCTGCACTTGCTCGATACATCCGCAGGCCACCGCGAGTCATTGTAAAGGCCAGATATGCGTTCAGTGACCTCCAAACGATGCCTAAGATGTCGAATGCATGGCGCATCACTCTGGGATTGATCAACGCCGAGAGCTTTATCCTTTTTCTTATACCACTTCTTTATGTCCAACTTTGAACTCATGAAGCATAACTATGACATTTCATAATTTAAACATTAAAACTGGTCTAAAATTGTTTTATCAAGGTGACCGAAGAAGTGCTGTATGAGAAATTACTGTCCAAGTAATAAGCTTTAAGATGGTAGCAACAATCTAGACAAGTAATAATTACCACAAAATATGACCTTACGCAATCTACGGCCTCAACGAAAGCATGAATAATACCGTCCAAGCAAACTGTTCTGATGTTCTAGATGCAGAGCAAGAAACACAGTACTGACACAGGTAGTGGGTGGAGAATTCTGTACTTCTAGCTTCTAGATCCAACCTGTATAATGAGAAAGCATGCATTTGTTAATATACGTGTCGTATTATTCAGAGCGATGTCAACTAAGGGATTGTCAAGAAACGACATCGAAAAATTGCAAGGACACCAGGATGAAAAGAAAACATCAGAAAAAAAATGAAGGCCGCATGAGATTTCTAAAAGCGAAACCATTTGGAAGAGAAAGAGTCTCTGTTAAGCTTCTTTTACACATACTAGCTTTCCCTGAATAGGAATACAGTTACAGGTTTCACAACGTCACCACCTTTTATTTATTGCCTGTCCTTTTTTCATGGCATGGTATGATGTACAAAAAATACATACGTATGAAATACGACTACAGTGATGCTGAGATATTTGCAAAACTTTGGACCGCAGGTATCTGCGGCGGTGATCAAGACTGTTATTTTCCCTTTCCGGGGGCTAACGCGTTCACCATAACACCATGCGTGTCCTTCGTTTCGCCTTTCTCTCAGCCGTGTTTAGCCGTTCACAGTTACAACTGTCGGATTCATTTACAATCACCACAACCCATGTATAATATACTTAATTGGGAAAACATCAACTATGACTTCGAGCTATCCTGAACAGCCAAGAGAATACGCCAGTAACTCGCTGTTTTCTTGATGAGCAAACACGAGGTTGTTACTTTACTCTATATTCACAAGAAAGCTAACGTTTCAGCGGATTTCGCCTTCTTCAGAGCTTGGGAACGCCAAGTTGAGTGAAATCTGCTCAGCCAAACATCTCTATAAGCAAGACAGGAAAAGCACGAAAACAAGGTTTCAATCGCATTGGAAACAAAATGGGTTTTGAACACTCACCGCTTTCTATGAGTTTTCCACTGAGTGTTTTACGTGGTGAGCAACCGCACAGAGTTCACACGGAAGCGTAATGTGTCTGTCTCACATTAAAATATCAGTCTAAGATATTATGTGAGATCACGTGTGATCGGAGGACATTTCTCCCTGCGGTTCATTTTTGGATTTTTGGAAATTATCCAAAACACCTGAAGAATTTCACGCGCCGATGTTTTGGACTCCTATGCGAGGATGGTAATTTCCACTTCGAAATCTTCCCCATTATATCTCTGTGTCCTATGCGCGCCTAGTGGAGTACTTGGCTTATCTTTAAGGTTACAAACTAGATATTCTTTTATGGGGTCTACTTGTTTCAAGCAATGTATTCGTTCCTGCACGCTTTACAAAAGATCAGATAAAGCTTACCTGAACTCGTACAATCACCGTCTCTACTGTTAGGTCATATTATGCGCCCATTAGTACTGCTGCACTGTGCGAATCTCAGCTTTTCTTGCATTCGATTTGTTCCCTCGCACCATGCATCCACTAAAGTCTTCGAACTTTTTTACGCATGGTGGATTCAGCTGCTTCTTGAGGATTTCTTCGCCTACGTTATGAACATTGTTGAATGTTGTTTTAGTCGATTGTCCCTGAAATCCTGAGATAGCCGTGCTAGGGCGCTCACCATTTAGTGGAGGGAGTAAGCCTATTCGAGAGAAGTCTGGTAGCAGTTTCCCAACATCGTGAAGATAAGGGGCTTGGTGGGTCCACTGCGGCTTCGAGCCACATTGTGGGACCCGCTCCCGTTCCCGATTTATATTAACTATTAGTGCAAAATCTCTTTTATGCTACCCCTCTCATGGTTTGGCTCATTTTAATGTATCAAAGACAGCTGATATCGAGAATTTATCTGTTAACTTTTTCTGGATAATTATTTTGGAATTTATTTATTTTAGTGGAAACAAACCATATCAAAGTGGAAGTTTTGTCGATGAATGTCTTCCTTGTCCTGATGTTCTACAAAGGTTTCCACTCTCTTATTTTTGCAAAGATTCTTCTAAATATCGTCACTAAGCAGTAAAGTCATTAACTGATATCGTGTTGCCCTCCGCTCAGAGTTATTCAAAAATATCGTCGTACTTTCGAAGAAGTACTTAACAAATTCTTCAGAATCCTTACCAAAATATCTCAATAGTCATAGCCAGAAGACTTCAATATAGATTCAAATGTCTAAGGTCGGAAAAGTATCCTCAATGGAAAATGGCCCTTCAGCACAAGCGCTCTCAGTGAAGCTGCCATTTTTCGATAAGACATTAATATGAAGTTTCTCAGAGATCAGTAGGCATTATCAACGACTCCTACTCCAATTTATTCAAGAATTTCGTTTATCTACCACCTGAAGCAGGGTTACCATAATGTTCGTAGAACTTCGCGTAGCAAAAATCCGGCCACAAACAGTTGACACAGAATAAAACTGAGACATCTGAGATGTAAACTATCAATGTGACACTCAAGGTGGTTAAATGGTTTAGGATCAGACCAAGTTTGCATCAACGTCATATACTCTTGTCAACAAACCAATGCAAAATGGGACTCCTATAGCCAGTACCAAAATTAAATGGGAATCAATGTTGAAATACCGTTCCGTATTATATCACGTAGTGTTACTACTACTCTTTAAGACTGGTGGTCACCAAAAGAAATAATTTCAAATAAAAACCGATCAACAATCGTCTTATATATTCTATATTCTATATATTCTATAATATTCTGGAAAAGAATCGTATGAGGTCACCTCTCTAGCTGCAAGAACTGTTCCGTATAGAGCCGTGCCACTACAAGGATTCACTTACTGCATGAAATAACGGCTGTAATCGGTTCATGTTTGTTGTCCACAGAGCATTCACATTCATTACTTTCAAGTAAACTTCATTGAGGAACGGCTTGAACATGGAGTCAAACAGAAGCAATTATTCCAGACCTGCTGAGATACACGTGTGCCGGCTCGCTATACATGGAACGAGAGGCCTTCCACACCTCTGCGGATATTTAAGAAATTCAGTTTGGTTACTGAATAGAAAGCATAGGTAAACATCACTATTAACACAAAGAAGGAGTTTAATACGATGGCACCGTCTTATGAAGATTCTTTAAGGCCATCATAGATCATATTTTGCAGAATGAACAACATGATTATCTTGACGAGAAGACGAAGATAGCGCAATAGACTATATCCTGAGGACCTAATCTTAGTAACTATTATAACAGCTACTACATTGCTTTAAGCATAACACAGAGTCAAGAAGGACGAATGACTGGCAACATCAACAAACATTCAGGCAGATAACTTTTCACGCGTTAAGTGTAGATAGTTGTGTCCTTCCGTTGATTGCCGGACACTAGATATTACATCGGTGGATTATATTTCAGAAGACATCCTTCAAGCACCCTGTAGGTGGTTCGTGGTTTTCTTGACGTGGTTGGAGTATCAGCTCAACTCCCCGCTCCATAATAAGGGTGGTGTACCGAAAAGGTGAGTGCGGATCTTCGGATACTTTAATTGGTCGGTGCTACTTTGTGAGGCTCGAATACGGACCGTACTGCTTTTCTTCTTCTCTCTAATTCCCCTTCATGTTGTTCTCCATTGTACACACAAGGTACACGTACAAGGTGATCTCTGTAATCGGAAAACCAACCAGTTCGATTCGTTTGCCTTATCACCATGGCTTCTACATGAGCTCGGGCTTTGTATTTATGCGTAGTCCGATCTTTTTTCCCGCTTCGCTGACTTCATTTATTATTGTCTCTGCGTCGCCGATGCTTCTTGAATAGATGACAATGTCGTCGGCGAAACGAAAATTGGATAGGAATTAATTTTCCACTAATACGTATGCTCTTCTGATCCCAATCAAGTGACTTCACTGTCGACTGCAGTGTAGTAATAAACAGCTTTGGTGATATGGTATTGCCTCGTCGAATTCCCTTTCCTGTAGACATGATAACAGAGTGGGCAAGTGTAGCATAGTGGTCGGAGGAGCCCTGCAATACGCATGGGATCGCGCTCATGGCTCACCAAGTCTTCCATCCCTCCGGGGTCGGCATATTGGTGTCAGACTTGTCTCGGAGGATAGCAGCACTCCCTCGATACATCGGTAGGCCACTGCAAATCATTGTAAAGACCAGATATGCGTTCAATCACCTCCAAACGATGCTTAATGAAGACAAATGCATGGCACACTCCTCAGGGATTGTCCAATGCCGAGAGCTTTATCACTTTATGATAAGAGGTCGATGGAAAAGCTGTATTTTCGTGGCGCAGTTTCGGTAATAGTGAGTTCTCATGTAGGTGTGTCCACTAAATGGTTAGTGAGCGATGGTAAGAATGCTTTTGCTTCGCGCTGTCAAACGCTTTTCATAGGGAGAGAACTCTGGACTACGGATAGGTGTCATTTCCGATAAACGTCTATAACCATGTGGTCCGTGTAGCAAAATCCCTACTGAGGTCCCGCTTGTTCAGCTCATCCACTTCATCCAAAGTCCTTGATATGTGTGACAGTACAATATTCTTGAACAGTTTGTACAGTCGCCAAGCATATCGGACGACAGTTATGCTAAGATCCATTCGGTTATTTTTCTTGAGAAGGATGACAGTTCGGGAAGAACTCTACAGGTCTGGAGATTTTCTCTTTTGAACGTAGGATGTCATATGCATGGCGCGAAATACATGCTCTTTAGTGCTCCCAGCACGAAAGAAATGGGCTTCAATTTATCGGTTTTTTGGGTGTCTTTATTCCTGGTTTCTATCGCAACTCGAACCCCCATCTGTATCACCTTTCGTACCTGTGTTCGTAGAGTGACTCGACCGGGTGCCAGCAAATCTTCCATTTCCTCCAGTTGCTTGCAAGAGTAGCCCAATAGGTTCTGGTTGCTTCGTGGACTCTCTGAGCGTCATGTTTTCCTTCTACTAAAATCTTCGTGACGAACTCTAACTATCGAATGGGTTGTTCAGAAACAATACGTGTTACTGCATAACGCGCAGAAATTAAGAAACAGTTTATTTTTTCATGTACCCAAAAAATCTCCTAACAACTTTCATACTAGAGGTTAACAATCCTTAAGAATCAAGTGAAACATAACAGTTCTAACTGGTTCATAAAATAGGATTTGTCGCAATAAAAATACTATTTAATCCTATTTACACGGTTTATTTATTACGAATATCCACTAAGCAAGCCCTTCGCAGATATCCCGTTTATCCTCAGCACGGTCATCTCTTGACTCAGCCCTAAAAGAAACCAATAGTAAGACAATTTTAAACTTCTAAAGATTTTTTGCACTGTTAACTATTCAGAGAAGCACCATCATTCAATGATGTCACACTCAAATTTACAATCCTCGTTCTTCAAATTGTTATAAGTGCTTTGTGATAGCTGAAACCTTTTAGCGCATTGATTGGATTTAAGCACTAGTCGGGAAACAGTAACAGTCTCCAAAACATGCTAACAGCGGTTTCTTCTAATCTTTCATCCACAAACGTGGAATGGAATTAAAAATCACGAAATTTAGACACTATATGTATGTATATACACAAATATATGTGTATATACATATATGTAGACACATACATATATGTTATACATATATGTATATATATACATATATATATATATACATATATGTATATATATATATACAAGGGCGTTAGGACAGTGGTAATGATATCGGTCACCGCGCGCACGGTGCTGGTTCGACCCCTCACCGGCCCATGAAGCCTCTCATCCTTTCAGGGTTGAGACATTGTACCAGACTTGTTTGGAAGCACTCATTGGCTAAAAACCAGGTGGAAAAGCTTTATTTCCGCTATCTCAGGAGCCCACAAACTTTGGTAAACGTTGGGCGACCGTGTTCCTGAGCAAAGTTAATCGGCTGTACTCGCCGCTGCACTTGTTTTACAGATCACGGTATGAGACTCACTCGCCACCATGTTCGAATCAAATCACCACAATGAACGACGACTGCGAGGCAAAAGAACCAATGGTAAATGTGCTGGGGTCCGCACAACTCGTAAAGACGGATCATCCAAATATTCAAGTAAGTATCTAAGTTAATTCTTTCATAAGGATCTTGCGCCCCTGTAACACGAAAAATCTGGGGTCTCTTAAAGTCAGATTTAAGCCAAAGTTTCTTAACTGGAGATATTTAAAGGACAGGGATCTGAATATAACACTTCTAATGAATTGATTGGGAAGAAGAACAACCCTGATACAAAAAACGGCTCTGAAGAAAGCGATTCTGCCGAAACGTCAGCTACGATTGCGTTGTATGTGTGTTATTGTATGGAAGTAAACGTACGTTGTTTAACAACCTCGAGATTGCTGAGAAAGAAAACGACGAATTTATAATCCAATGCCGAAGTTAATAGAAAGTCGATCATGGGAACAATCCTGATGATTTGCACATTCTGATTTGCATTTGGGAAGTCCGAACAACTCGTGAAGACGGATCGCATCCACGTACCTCAGGACTCCGCGGGATATCGACTGAATCGGCATTAAACAACATCCATAAATAAATTAAATATTCTCAAACAGCAGCGAAAGCTAAACGCGAAAAGCTCGAAGACCTCAGTGGATGACGGGTGCACGGAAATGATTCGAACACAAGGAGTGCTAGCATCTGCACAGTAGATATGAAGATGGGTCGTTTTAAAAAAATCAGCAAAGTGGTACCGCACTTACCGAAAAAAGAAACTTGTGGTACACAAATACTGATGACTGTTGACCAGCATTCAGTGTAACTCATGAAGAAAAATTTCACAAGTAGTGAACAAACCCATACGCAAATTTGAAGAGTGGAAGACAAATGCAAGACAATGAGCCGAAACAAGGAAGTACTTCGCTAGAAACGGAAAACTGATGGTGCTTCAGCTTTGCAAAAACTACTTTTACCAGTAAAAACGATATCATAAGCTTGAACGATATATAAATAGTCAGTGTTTTAACACACTTAATCGAAAGGGCAATGCTGCGATTAACACCCAAGTGACAGTCACAATCCAAATTCTCTACCTATCTTGACGGACAAAGAACACGTAGATCTAGAGACGTCATAACTAGAACCGATGGATGATAGCAATCAGCGATCGAAGCCTCAGGGGTGTTTGCCTTATAAGAGAATGACTACCGATGCAATGGCCAAACATCTTCATAGAAGATTCCACAGAACTTAGCAGACAACAGAGGCGAATGTAAACTTCTCTGACGTCATTCTAGTCAATCAACGATGAACAGACGGATAGTAAGTAACTAGAAGCTTGTGGTTGGTTTAGCGACACACATACATCTAATACACGACCTGATTAAAGATACTTCCACCCTCCACTACGTAAAGGTATGACACTGCAAAATAATGAGCAAAACTGTGCTAACATGAATTCAGCGATGTTGTTACCACTTGACCAAAAAAGTAATTATTTCGCTTAGCAAACATGTGCCTGATTTCTAACCACTTCAATTCATAAATCCTCAAAAGATTTGAAAGACAGGAAAATATCCACCCATAGCGGCCCACTTTAGTAAAAACTTAAGTGTTTCACCAATAATTATCAAAGCAAAGATTAAGTAGGTGGAAGGAAACATTACTCACAGTTCATAATTTTTATGTGCCTGTGATTATTACGAATGTATTCTAATTCGGGATATGTCGTCGACTTCTCCACAACAGTGGCTTCTACTGTAACAGAATCAAGCAGTGGACGACCAAAAACAGAAAATTGTTTACCGCCAACCATTAAGACCTGAAACAAAGAGACGTGTAAAAGTTCTCGCAGACACTTCTCTTTAGCGCCCTATGGTATAGGCAGGTAACTTCCAAAGGAAAAAAGAAAAAAACGAAAACAAGCCTTCTCCATCTTTAGTTTTTCTCCAACGTCTAACGGCAAACTTCCTTGTAATGCGATTAAGTCATTTTGACCCACTTTCCATTGACGCCCATTCAAGTACACTACGGCAAAAAGCCTATTTGATGGATCCGCTACTTCAGAAGAAATCCAGGAAGTCACCTGCAAGGGAACATAAACCAGTAGTGGCTTATTGACACACAATAAGTCCAGAGAACATGAAGAAAGTATCGCGTAAGAACCAAAAACACTACAAACTTGTTTTTGAGCACTTTCATCGACAATTTCTGCTCGAGTTGCCAATTGACGGATGAAAAATCGCGAAAGGAACATCTATCAACGCACTTTCTGGTCATCAAAAACGTGATGAGAAATAAGCAAAAAACGAAAGTCAATCCAATGATAAACGAATTAAGCAACAGTGGACAAAACCATAATAGCAATTTACGTCATAAAAATCATTTATAATAGAAAACGATACAATAAATTAAGACTTCTTGAAGCAACTATCAGTCAAGCCGCTCGTGTCAAGATGAACTTCTTCTGCCAATCGAGCAAACGCAACACGCTCCTCTTCATTCAAAGCACCCATCAACTGCTCCACTTCCCCACCAATACCCAAACTCTGAACATTATTCGTTAGAAGTGTAGACTAAAAAAAGTGTTTGGATTGACTCACAAGTAGTCTTCTATCGATTTCATCCTCGTCAAGTACATAATCATCGATAGTACTTGTCACCACTCTTTCCAAATACTGTTCATTTTTGTCTGGGAACGAACTTTCTCCGTACTCTGCCTCGTCATCAGAATCCAGTGGCTCGCACTCATCTTCTGCCGTGGATGAGTTTGCACCTGAGCAAGGAAGAAGTACTTATTATGAGGTAGAAAGTCTCGATGATTTCTGGCAGAGGCTTACCAGGGATTTCATCCAATTCACCGTTTAAGTACTTCTGCATATGCTCCTCAAATGTATCCTGCTGCTCTCCATTTCCTTCCAAACGACGATTCTCCAAGTGTTTCTTTACGCATTCCTTATAAAAATCTTCCGAGCATCCAGAGTGCTTTTCGCACCGATAACATCTAAAGCCTTTTCAGACGATAAACAAGGAGATATACGACTAATACATGAACTACAAACTGAGTACAATTGGGATGAGTTTTAAACATGTTGACTAATGATATCGAATAAAATCGCTAGAAAGTAATGAACAGTACAGCTCGAAAGGGACACTACCTCAATGAGCAGAAGTTCGCACTGCAACGGGGACATTTGTATTGTTCTCGTCTTTCAGTTGAACAGAATGCACACCTGTTCATCTATAACACTATTCAATGTTGTAAGGTTGTTACATTCCATTTTGTAAACTCGCCAGATATAGAATCGAACCAAAAGTGAGAGAAGAACAACGAAGTATACATTATTCATCATAAATCCAAGAGTAACCCATGAACAACAACGATGAAGCCCTGAGGGGTCTTCCTGAATTCACATTAAACATTCCGCACGAAAATAAGAATTTAGAGATCATTTGCAACTTCGTATTCGTCATTAGTGTACTGATCACATTCGTCATCATCTAGTTCTTCGCTATCACCAGTATTACAGCTTTCATCCGAGTCAGCGCTGACGCTTTGATCAGCTGAGTGATTCTGACCATCTTCGGCACGTCTCTTTGCCTTCTTTTCCATGAGATCATCGAAAAATCTTGAAAACGAAACTTTTGAGAACGTATTAAAACAGATAAAAGTAATGCTATAAGTTTTTCGGTTAAAATGGGGGAAAGCGACAACAGTAATGAACTCATAAGACGACGCGTACATGCAGAATTTGTCAAACAACATGTACAATATTCACTGCGAAACAGTGTAAGTGTATAACTAAAGGTAGAAACACTTAAAAGCAGCATTTTGCAGCGAGAGATCCATCACGACAGCAGGGTCCGAACTTCCACCTCTGAGTTCGAAGTTTCCATCGGGAAATATATACATACATACATATACATATATGTATACATAATATATAACAAAGACATAATACAACACATAAGACGAGACTAAAAACATACAGAACATTTAAGGCACTGATAGATCTACAACAAATTTCACGGGCTCCTATTTGGTACCACTCACAAGGATATGGGATGCTGAGACATTTAACAGCAGAATTTTAAAATCGAAATGAAATACAGAATTTATAACTGATTTTAAATAGATGATTCAAAGCAGCAATCGCCAAAATGTCGAAAACTTCTGCACCTTTTTTCTAAAACACTTGATTCAACACGAAGTTGTACCGCAACCAAATATGGTGCTATTATAAAAGTCCATTGCAGTCAATATCACTGCTTATAAAACTCTCATTTTATTTTTAAGGTGGGAAAAAATGAATGAGCAAAAAGAAAAAACGAAAAACTTGGATTTACTATGAGAGACACACCTGAATAAACACAATGTTGTAAGGTTGTTTGTTTTTTGTACAATGTTTTAGCAAGTAGCAACCTAGATTCTGGAAGACCTCCCAACGGTTTACCGCCTCATAGTGGCTGGAAAGGTGTTCCTGGGTGTCGGGCCGTAATGTACAGTGGGGGATTCATCTCCACGGCAGGCTCCCTCAGGATGAGGAGTCAGACGTTTCCATCCCGAAGCCCAGATGATACTACACCAACACCAGGAATCATTACCGTCCTGGTACAGAACTAGTCGCATGGTGGCAAATTTCGCCCTTATTTACAATGGCAGCGGTTGCCTGTGGTGGTGAAGACCTGGGGCAGACTTTGGCAAGGCTGACCTCGGGACTTCATGGAACCACAATGGCTAAAGTAACAAAATTCCAAAAAATTGAAAATTATGAAGGCGCCTGCACAATCAGTGAAGACGGGCTATCCAAGCATACAAGCATGATAGGAAAATTTGAATGAACACATTGCTTTAGCAAGGAACAATCTAGATTTTAGAGGTATCTAAATCAGATTTTTAAACATCTTCTCTTACATTAAATAAACATTAGAAGAAAGAAGACATAAAACAGAAAGATAATATAATATATAGAGTAGGACTAAAAATAGACAGAACACTTACGAGACTAAAGGATTTAAATCATATTTCATCAAATCATATCCGGGAATATATAAGGATTCACAGGAACATGCGAAGGTGTCAAGTGAGGCGATACTAACGTGTGTTTGATGTCCCATTCTGGACGAATCAAAAGCTTCCGCGCACCCAACCTATGTATAGATACCAGACCTTTGCCAACCGCTAACCAGGGTTGATCATATGAACTGCTCCACAAAACTTCTCCATAGTACTGAGTCAAGAAATACGCAGCTCAGTATAAACAAAGGTTACACAGACAATAAGTGTTTGCATCACACAATAACTTCGTCTGTGGGAAACTCAAGAAATGGTCATAGTTAGTTTGTAGGGAATGATATAAAAGCACAAGGAAACCATTTAAGTTGATTTCCACACTAAATATTTAGCATTTCAAAAAAAAAATGAAGAAGAAGAAAGAAAGATAGCCAACGTTTACCTTTCATTCACGAGTGGCTTTCTTTTCTTTACTTCAGCCGCACGCAACAACGGAATCTCTTCCAGTAACTCAGAAAGCGGCCAGAACTTGATGGAACTTGCAAATGTGGACATTGAAATCAATGTTGATCCATCCGTAGACACCTATACATCCAAGTGTCGTAAGGGCATAACGCGATGAAACACAATTTGTACCATCAGCTGATCCACTCCATCGTCATCTCCATGCTTCCCAACAACACCCAATTTCTTAGCTGGTATTACGTTTATTAATCTACAAATAAAGCAGTGATATTCTTTGTGTTTGAACTACAGAACTAAGGAGTTGCAAAAACATACTTTAGTTTGTCTGAAGAACCACTGCAAGCTATTAAAAGGCCTTTACGAAGTTCTACTACATCATCAACACCCTGCAAAATTAAATTAAAACGTACTCAGAAATTATGGAAATTCCAGCTCTGAATTGAGTCTTTCTGGCTTAGCAATCGTGGTTCCGTGCAGTCCCGAGGTCAGCCAGGACAATTCCTGCAGGTCGTCCACACAACCACCACAAACAATCGCCCTCTTGTGGATCGGAGGGAGATTTGCCACCATAAGACAAGTTTGATACCAGGACGGTGGTCGATCTCGGTACTGCTTTACTATTAGCTGGGCTTCCAAACGGAAGCAAAAAAGTGGATTTTTACCACATCTGAATTCTCAATGAAAAAAAGCCAAAGGTTATCAATTAGCTTCACTCTTACCATATCAAATCCCGTCTGTATGCGTTGAAGGATGTTACCATAGTCACCATGGACGAAGACTTCAAGGTAACCACCTCGCGCACCAACATACACATACCTAATAAGGATACCAATACGGATTTATTCAATTAAATAAGATGTTTAAGTACAGAACATCGTACTTTTCGGTGACACACAAACTGAGAAGCTCCGAAGGCATCACTTCGCTCTTAACACGTAATCTTCGCTTACGTATATCATAAACAGCTAGTGTTCCGTCGGCCGAGGCTGATAAAAGACTATGTCGGCTGTCATTCTTCAACGCATTCACATCCTGTGGATTTGAAAGTTGAGTGAAAACTGAATAACCCTTTTCAAATTGGCTCTTCAAAGGACAAAGAAAATAATACGGTTGAGAACTGTCTCTCTACACCATCCTTTGTTTCCAAATAAACAGTAAGGCTAAATAAAATTTAAAAAATCAAAAGCTAAAAACAAAAATTGGCTTAGATATTTGCAAAACTCCGGACCGCAGGTTTGTGGAGAACGAACGAGCTATTACCCTTATCGGGGGCTAACGCGCTCACCACCACACCATGGGGATCCTTCGTCTCGCCAGTCTCTCAGCTAGTTCTATCGATCAGTACCATCAGCAAGAGGTTGTATCACACATAATACCCTACCGTGAAAAATTCTAATAGGCGGTAAATAAGTAGTTAACATTAAGATTTCGACTACAGCCTCAGCTTAACTGGATTTATTACCGATTTGGGCTCTTCAGATCAATCCCGTTGATGGGTGATTGCTGATGGCACTGATCGGCAGAACTAGTTAAGAGACAGGCGAAACGAAGGACTCGCATGTGTGGTGGTGAACGCGTTACTCCCTGAAAAAGGTAATAGCGCGTTCGTTCCTCACCAGAGCAACCTGCGGTCCGGAGTTTTGCAAATATCTCAGCATCACTGTGGTTACTTCACAAATAATAGCCTGCCGTGAAAACTTGCAAAAGGAGGCAAATAAAAAGTTAACAAAAATTGGCTATGTTAAGAAAACTGGACAAGTTACCGCTTGCTGTTCCTTCCATGCACAAATTATTGGGTCATCCGCACGAAAATCCCAAGATCGAATCTGAAATATTATTCATGGTAAATTTCTCATCGAACAAGATAGTGATGATCTACTGAAAACAACGAGGTCTGTGTATGAAGGGGCAAATTCGAAGTTCTGCACCTCGCCAGATTCGTCTCCTGTACTAAAATGGTGAGACCTGTTGGCCAAATCAGGATTACGAAGGCAAATAGAGGTCGGTCTCTTATGGTGTCCTCGTTTAATGCAACGTTTTCTATAACAAACACATATACGTATAGAAGAAGCTGCGATAGAAGCAGCTTCTCACCTTTTTCCAGTCTCTATATCGAAACATGAAATCCCTCTGTTACTCGTAATTGCAAAAACATCGGACTGATCGTGACTGATGGCGAGTCCTCGAACGCTACCTTTCGTTTGGAACTTCCACTGAACCTATAACAAGTTGTGAGATTAAGAGCACCATTCAATCAAAAGCTGAGGTGGATTCTTCACTAGTAAGGCAGCATCTGGTGAGTAGTCGCACTCATTTAGGTCATAGGACTCTACGAGTTCTGTGTCCTCGAGCTCCGTCACTACTGCTGAAAGACAATTGGAAGAAAGTTGTACAGTTACACTCATGAACTGTCAATTGATCCTTTAAAAAAAAAAGGACATGTAATCTTCAGGAGAACCTCCGTTTGAATGGGTTTTAATTGTAAAGTAGGATTTTCTCTCCAGGGCTCCGCGAAAGCCGCGCCATAACTACATCACTACCACCACTAGTGGTCACGAAATCTCTCGAATCGGAGTCCGCACCTGTGCGAATGGGTCTCTTTAAACAATGATGGTGATTCCCGTTATACGTTAACCCTGAGTTGGGCTTGAAATCTCGAATGCTTTCCGAGCTTTCGCAGTCCTGCAGGGAGATGAACCACTTGTAGTATATCGTAGTTCAACACACTATAACACTTCTGTGCCACAATGAGGAGGCACAACAAAAGAATTGCACACCAGGAACAGTTTTCCATGAACTTTTTGTGTTTTTCATGAAAACAGTACCTGAAGTGAATTACTGGGAAGACCATACGTGCCATATTGTACAATTCCGTCTACGTATCCTACTACAATCGTGTTTCCTAACCCACACGAGAAGGAAGAGGGAGGCTCTGGTAACATAACTTCCATTCTGAAAATCGACTTCAGAAATTGTTCATAAGACGAAAGAGATGTGATCCGAGTAGAAAGCACTGGCACACAAGAAAGTATTGAGGAAAGTATGTCGATTAGGAAAAAAGAATCATGTAATGCATTTCAAACCTAAGCAAGGTAATAGGATTCGTTGTCTACAGAGGGCAAATAGAACGAATGGAAGAAAACAGCAGAATCAAACAGTAACCTCGAGAAATTTTCCGCCTTCACACGCTCGGTCCGCAAATTGCACAAATTCGGACGAGGAAAGACGCGTAGTGGCAGAATTTATCGCGCAGTACGAGGTTTCGTTTTCCTAAGTTTGCAGTAACTTGGTTTATTAAATCTTATAAGAAATTGCTGGTAAACCTTATTTTATCTAGTTATTCTTCGCCATTGCTCCCAACAGTCCATCGTCTCATTGTGGCTAGGAGGTGTTCCTGATTGTCGGGTTGCGATGTGCAGCGGGGGGATTCATTCCCTAGGTGGGCCTCTCAGACTGAAAAGGAGCCCGGCGTCTTCATCAGGAACCCCAGCTAAGAGTTAGCCAATACCAGGATCCAGCATTGTCCTGGTATCAGACCGGCCGCATGGTTGGCAAATCTCCCTCTGATCCATAAGGGCTGTGACTGCCTATGGTGGTGATAACGTGGGGCAGACTTTGGCCAAGCTGTCCTCTGGACTCCAGGGATACACAGTGCCTAAACCAGCAAATCTCTGGAGAGTGGGAATTATGTTGGGGCCCGCACAACGAGTGAAGACGGACCGTCCAAGTATGCAAGTGAGTAAGTATTCTTCGCCTTCACCGTGGTCAGTGCAAAAGCGATTCAACTCGACGCTCCACAGCAGTCTTTTCTTATGGTGTGGGTATTCGTTGTGGTATCCAGTTGAATTAACTGAATTGGCATGATATATACAAGTACATGATTATCAGCGTTACATATGCTTTCCTATTCAAGTAAATCTCGTTCAGTTACTGTTCGTGCGCTTCCTTATTTGACAGTAAGCGACCGACTCTTAAATTCATTTGGCATCTATTTCACGCCTATTTTTCGGCACACTCGCTGTGAGTGGACATCCATGCACACCGACCATTGTATCGATCCACACGTGGGCAGAAACGCAGTCAAGCCGGTTCGTAATTGTTGAAATGTAAACCTATGAAGAAAAGCGAAAAGATTCATGTTATCCAAAGATTGCAATTTTACTACTATAAAACAAGAAACGTTGTCTTTTTTCGGGCACGCATTTAATGGTGTCGGTTATTATACTTTAACATTCTCTCAGTGGTTTCCGATTCGTCGTTGGTGAAAGGTGTTTATAGATAAAGGAGTAAAAGGATAAAACTCTCGGTGTTGATCAATCCCTCGGGGATGCACCATGCATTCGACTTCATTAAGCGTCGTTAGAGGTGATTGAATACATATCTAGCTAGCCTTTACAGTGACTCGAGGCGACTTACCGATGTATCGAACCAGTGCTGCTATCTTCCCAGACAAGTCTGGTACTAATTTGCCGAACCCGAAGGGATGGAAGGTTTGGTCGACCTGCGGCGCGGGGATCGATCCCGTGTCTTTTACAGGGCGCCTCCGACCACTCTGCTTCACGCGTTCGTCTATATACGATGTAAATGCGAAATTCCACATAGACACCACTCAGCTATTCAAGAATTAGTACTACAATCTTGCTCGACTTTCTCGCCTACTACGTTAAATTTGCGAACTTGTCGTTACTCAGCAATAGGACGATTTTTCACCACGATGATTCGGGTCCAGTTTGGGAATCGTTATAAAATGCTATGGAAGAGCCCCACTTTAGTCATTATTTGACATGTTACTATTTGTTTAAACTCAAGGTATCCTAATTGTACTATAGAATTAGTGGTAGGTAACGAGAAAGGGGTTGAAGAAAATCACATATACTGCGATGTAGAAATGATAAGGCTTTAACGAGGTAAGGCTCGAAATTTTCATAACCTCTACATTCTGCTGTTATCCATTACTCTTTGTTTTAAATGAACTGCCACTAGTTTGCCTAAAAATCGGCTTTCTGAGTGCAGTTCTTCAGAGACCGCATCTTCTGCATGACTCTGTGCAGAGTCCTGTCCTCCTAGTATTTACACATTTGATGAGCTTGCATAGATAGCTGTTTCATGAGCACTAAACTACCCACATAGATGTCTACAATCGTCCATTTCGGTCTTCTTATATCATATATAGAATTTGTTCTCATGTCTATTGCTAATCCAGCCACGGCGTGAAGCCATGTAACCGCTCCACCAGGTGCAGAAAAAGACAAGGAGAACATGAAAAGAGTGCATCTCTTGATTGTATAGATGAAACAACCCTCGGCATAAGCCAACCGTGAACTTTCGGTGTCCACAGAACCGATATTCCCAGACGATGTCAGGAATATTGCTTCACTCTAAACGCAGCTGCTGTATAACAATTACTGCTGTTCTATGAAGCTAACTTCTTAAAGTATCTTTGTAACTAATATTAACAAGAGTTCCCAGTATCGACTTTCTCTTAACCTCGGCATTGGAATATGAATGCGTCGTTTTCTTGTTCAGCAATCGCGAGGTTTTTAAACAGCATACATTTATTTCCATAAAAAACACAATGCAATACAACACTAGCTGACGTTTCGGCAGTATCGCCTTCTTCAGAGCCTGGAAGGGTATGCTGATATACAATCTACTAGGCCAAACGCTTCAATAACACTTGCAAAAAGACGAAAGACTCTTCGGTAATTACATGATCAACAACTTCTCGAAAAACCCACTGCTTTTTCGTGACTTCCAATGAGGAAGTTTAGAACAGCTGATTATAGTCGCATGTGGTTGACGACTGCACCATCCCACATCAAAAATCGATGCGAACGTACGGGATCAGGTCGCGTATGACCTCCGGGCATTCGTCCCTGCTATTCATTGTAGGGTTTTTGGCATTTATCCAAAAAGCCTCAAGAAGTTTTCGCGCTGGTGTTTTAGACTCCTGTGCAAGGATATTGGCTTTTACTTCAAAAACGTCTCCGCTATGCTTTTGTATCCTATGCGTGCCTAATGGGGTGCTTCGTCTTAGTTTTCGTTTGCCATCTAGGTGTTCTTGATCATCAGGTGATACCAACTTATGTGTTTTAATAAGTAGGTATAGGACGGGACATGTTGGTCTATCGATTTTAAAGTGCGAAATAACCGATGATTTTAAACCCGCAGCCTTTGCCACGCTGACCCATTGATTGTTTAGCTTTCGATATTGACTTTTATATTCCTTTTCAGAGGATGCACGATAGAGAGTAGCATCACTAAGACGTTCCTCTGTTATCTCAACATCCAGCTGACGAGGGATAACTACGAACTCTCTCCCCTTATCACTAACAGACAATCTTATTGTTTTCGAGGTTAGTAATTCTCTAATTTCCTGCATGTCACATTTTTGTGCGGCTGTAAGGTTAGAGATAAACTTTCTATCGCGGTAGTGATCAAGGGTCTTGAGAACGTTTTAGGGAAAGGAGATGGTGGTAGTGTCACCGCTTCTTGATTTTTATCTCTATTTGATGTTTTTTGTTTCGCCTGATAGTGGGAGTCGATCTTGAAGCTCATAGAGGTTGCATGCTATCCTACGCAGGGTCGTTTTAGAAATGAGCTGTGATGGTACAAAACTTGGGCCCAATTCTCATAGCGAACGCGCACTCTCAGGTATTGTTATGCCCTCAATAACAGTGACCCTAGAGTTTCTTGGTGCATTATCAACCTATTTTGACTCCTAGCAAAGTTCGTTTGTCTATGGTTTCTTGAAGCGGAGACACGCGAATTATTCAACAAGGACCAGGAAAAACCGACTGGCTCCCATTTCTTAACGTTCAAGTCAACTTATCAAGTAACGGCTATGTGAGAAAATGGTACCGAAAACCAAGTAACAAGAACATCCTCGTTCATTTCCTTTCTTCCCACCCTTCACACACAAAGAGGGCGATTGTGAGAAACATGTTTCGAACAGCAACCTCTGTGTGCACTACCAGGGAACTAAAGGAAGAATCGCGCGACTTGGCTCAGCAAATAGCCATCTCCAATGGCTACGAAATAGTAACCCCACGAGGTAAGTTTACAAGGAGAACGACGCGCCCACGCGAAACACTTGGCCAAAAGAAAGTCCCGTTCATGTTGCCTTTTATAAGCGATGAAGTAAGCGTAGCTATAAAACGATGCTTTAGAAGGGCAGGTCTAGAGGAATCGGTAGCGATAGTTGAAATACCACCGGCTACTCTACGTCGCCAATTAGTTCGCAACCGCCTGTATGACCGTCTGTGTGAAACAACAAATTGCGTAATTTGCCCTTACGGCAGGGACGGTGATTGCATGAGTTCAGGTACGACATACCTGATCTCTTGTGATAATTGCGGAAATGAATATATTGGCGAAACGGGCAGACCTTTGTGTATCCGTATAAAAAAACACCTAGATGGCAAACGAAAACTAAGACGAAGCACCCCATTAGGCACGCATAGGATACAAAAGCATAGCGGAGACGATTTTGAAGTAAAAGCCAATATCCTTGCACAGGAGACTAAAACACCAGCGCGAAAACTCCTTGAGGCTTTTTGGATNACACTTGGCCAAAAGAAAGTCCCGTTCATGTTGCCTTTTATAAGCGATGAAGTAAGCGTAGCTATAAAACGATGCTTTAGAAGGGCAGGTCTAGAGGAATCGGTAGCGATAGTTGAAATACCACCGGCTACTCTACGTCGCCAATTAGTTCGCAACCGCCTGTATGACCGTCTGTGTGAAACAACAAATTGCGTAATTTGCCCTTACGGCAGGGACGGTGATTGCATGAGTTCAGGTACGACATACCTGATCTCTTGTGATAATTGCGGAAATGAATATATTGGCGAAACGGGCAGACCTTTGTGTATCCGTATAAAAAAACACCTAGATGGCAAACGAAAACTAAGACGAAGCACCCCATTAGGCACGCATAGGATACAAAAGCATA